CGATGCAAGGATTCTGAGTCATCGCCCATATTAATCCGATAAGATGCTACAGGAAACCGTGCCACCGTGTCATGTGAGAAAAATGATTCTCGAGATTCTTGAATGATCACGAGAAGAGGAGGAATTAGCATCATGTGCCACAGTTTGATGACCCAGAAAATCCAGTGTAAAAATGCACTGTTTCTTTAGGCCTCTGAACTTAGGACGACTTTTAGTGACCATTCTTATAAGATATCCTGATGTCCTGCACCAATTTAACGAGGGGATATAATAATATACCCCATTACAAATTTTCTACAGTAATGCGAGTTAGCTAGCCGCATCCAAGAAAACTCAAATTCTCTAGAGTCGGGCAGCGCTGTTCTAGACTGAGACACTACCATACCTGTCAATACTCTGCCAATGCCTCGTTAGCGGCTAATCATCAATAGCCCATTTTAGGGTTCATGCAAATACTCCGCACTGCATTAGTCAACCAATAGGAAAGTGGCCATATTTTCGTTATCAATGAGGAGATTCCTTAAAACAGGAGGCGAAGTAGCTCTAACACTTGATTTGCCGTGGGCCTGGCGCTCACATGGTATTGCACACAATAGCATGAGTTATTCGCATCTCTATGCAACGTTGCAAAGAAATGCGGCATATCGCAACTTGCTCTCTTCGAGCTGAGGACCCTACTACGCAGATCGACATGATTTTTCCTCATTTTAAATTGATCAGTTCACCAAAGGTTCAAGTCACTTCAAGAAAGCACCAGCTTGACGACTGAAAAGTGAAGTGGTATTTTGGTCATTGTCCTCCGCCCTCAAGGTGAGAGCGAGGCAAGTTTTATAGGACGAATTGTTACATAGAACTGGGCAATCATGGCCTTATTTTGAAATCCAACGTGATACTCTGAGATTTGATTTAAACACGCCTCATGACCACTTTCGTAGTTCAGCGAAGGGACAGAGCAGAAAGAAGGAGTCAGTACCTTGCGCAAGCGACATCGCTTCCATTGCTGGTCGAAGTAGGGTTGTCCGTGTGTGTGAGGTGCGGAGCGGTGCTGTCAGCCAGCGCTCTGAGCACGGCTTCGGTCATACCGACGTTCGACGACGACGCATAATCCGTATTAGCAATAAACGGTTGGTGAAGCCGGTGGTGCCGGTCGGCTTTGAAGTTCAGCGGCGTCGAGTGATGGCCAGCTGTGGAGGGATCGACGAGGGATGATGGACGAGGGATGAAGCCTCAAACGTTGAAGGTGGTCAGTCAAAGCCGTGACTGTGGTCGAACACGATGCAATGCCTCGTCGTCCAAAGAGTCCATCATCGAGCAGAGGCTGTGACTGACGAACGGGTGACGACAATGCCGACGACAACCGACATGAAAACGAAAGTTGGACGGCGGACGCGAATGGCCATAGAAAAAACTGACCGACCTTGAAATTCACTACACCTGACTTTCACTGCTACTGAAAACTGCGACTGAGCGAAAACTCGAAACCGTGAAAACGTTGAATGACCCAGTTCCAACGACAGCGTCACAAGTGACACAGAAAACCGCCGAGGCACACCGTCAGCCCAACGCTGCGCCAACGCCACTCTCTTCTCGATGTCGCATGAAGCAGAAGAACAAGACGAGAGCAAGGAGAAGATTATAATTGGGGGAGGGGGGGGTGATATGCAATCGATGAACAAGGAGAACACGAAACAGGAAAAATGCATTCAACGGATGCATCCCTCGAAGAGTTAGAGAATAGTAATAATGTTGGTCAGTTGAAAAGGTACCGTATTCTACTACGGGAACATTACAACGGGATATCGTTATGTGCTGAAACCTGCCGGTCATTTTTCGCTCATATTTGAATGAAAATAATTTACTACTGCATTGAATGCTTGGATAAGCTTGTAGCGGTTTAGAAACAGGTTGAAATTTAATTCCTGACGTCACTTTCTACCATCTCTTGTCCTCTAACCTGATTCGCTAGACACTGAGCACAAAGATTCTGAATAGAGTTATTTTTTTAATCAGTAAATATCGTTTCACAAATGCATATTCATCCAACTATCTGCATATCTATCAATTCACATATCCATATATGTCTGATTGACCCTTCTCGCCGGTATTTTGTACAGCAGTTCCCTGAAAGCGCTGTCTTGGTGTTTCGCACAAGTTGTGGTCTGCTGAGAAACAAGTTCTTATTAGTGGTCGCTAGCTACGGCGTGGTAGAAGTGTGTACATTCGATCGTTAACTAGTGCAAAATAGGACCCTCGGCGAACGACCTAATTTTCATTCGAGTCTGTGCTGGTGTTCGATTCAACCGATAGCAAGGGCTATCATACGGTGACATTCGTGATATCATACATGCACAGGTGTACTGAAAATCGAACTGAACTGAAATGACTGAGAGCACGACAAAAATTCGGAACAACGTCCCCTTGTTAGTGCTCGATGCCTGTGATTACGCGCTATCTATGCAGTA